CTAGAGACAGGCTAACAATGGTTGGTTGCCACTGGTCACAAGACAGCTGCCCAACCTCCTTTAATGGGCCTTGTGCTGTGTAGGCCTGTAATAGACTCTTCCTTGGACCTCACATTATATTTTGTTTTTCATCTCTCTAGTGCATTTATCATCCATTATTGTACACTGTGATTACTGATGTATATACATGTATTTTAAAGACTATTGTATGGGGAAAGCAGCAGAATAAAATGGAACTTTTAACATGATTCCAACATTTGATAGCTTATGAAAATAAGTTACTTATTCTCTAAGCTTTAGTTTCTACATATAAAAAAAGAAGATAATAATATTTGTATCACCTATCTTAATGGATTGTTATGAAAAAGGCAGTATGTAAACCTTAAAATGCTAAATAACCATTACACTTTATATCTCTCCTAGAGGCTTGTTTCCTCTTCCATAAAATGAAGGGGTTAGAACAGATTATCTCTATCTAAAGTCTTCTCCAGAACTAAAAGTCTACGAGTCTCTGAAATGTTTACTGAGCTGAAACCATCAGACGTCACCAAAACAAAATCTGTGATGAGGTCAGAAAGGCTTCACTCCCCCTTCTCTCTTGGCAAACTCCACTACTGTTCGGAATTCAAAATTGCTTTTCAGCAGGACTCAAGCAGGTGTGAGGTATTCATAGAGTTATATCTTAAAAAGAGGGAAACAGAACAGAATATATTTAGAAGCTAGAATACTATAAAAAATGGCAGTGTTGAATATCAAATATTGGAGACTCATCAGTAAGCAATCAGTATAACCAGTCTGAAAGCTTTATGTGTGAGTATCCTTCACAAGACCTGAAAAGAACCTACTCATGAAAAATAGGAGACACTAACTGTTCAAACTAAAACAGAGAAGATTTTTCCTATGAAAAGTTTTGAATTTGCCTCTTACAGCCATTCAAAATTACAATCACAGAATTGAAAGGGGCTACAGAAGCTACTGTAAAGATAAGGAAAATTGAGGCTCAGAGAAGTTAGGAGACTTGTCCAAATTGACATAGCTAGTAAACAGCTGAGGTAGAATGTGAATTCAGACTTTCTGACCCAGAGGCCAATACCGTTTCTACCAAACAAGGCTGCTAACAGTGGTCAATAATATTCAAGATTAAACAATTAAAGTTCCAATAAGTAAGGAACTATTTTAAGATGACTCTGGAAGACTAACTCATTTAAGCGCTCATGCCAGAGCAAGATGTAAACAAAACTCACTAGAAAAGTATCACACCTGCTTTCTCACTAAAGAAACTGAGAAGATGCTGGAAGCTACTATATAATCTCATCTTTCATCTCTCTTATTCTAAAAACACTTACCAAGTAAACTGTAGTAAAGCTGAGATACTAACAGCAAAAAAAAAAGAATACCTTTCCAAATTATCCTTCTTTAGCGCATCTTCATTGCTATTACTATTTTCTAAGATTTAGAAATCATATTTACATATAATCACATAGTTGAGTATAGTTAGATAAATTTTCTGTACATGCTGTAAAAATAGTGGTGTCTTTCTAGAAAAAAGCAGAATACACTTCATTTTATTTCTGAGCCATTCTTTATAAGGTTTAGGAAGGTTTTATACATATTTGTTAAATGTTTCTTATATAAAGGACATTAAAAGGAGAATTTTTTAGAAGCACCAGTTTCTTAACTATTAAAACTAAAGATTATCGGAGGTGAAAGATGCCTAAGATAGCATCTAATTCCATCTCCTCCCCAGCAGAAACTTCCCTTACAGCATCCTCGCAGGGAACAATCTCCTCAGGTGCTTTCAATGAGGAGCTGGACAGTTCTATTTTTGTGACAGTTGTGCCTTATATTGAGCCAAAATTCATCTCCTCTAACTTCCCTCACCTTGGTCTTAACTTCTGCTCCCTCCAGCCACAAAGAACAATCAGTATTTTCCCTTTTTCATAATGACAGCCTTTAAATATTCTTAGAGACAGCTATCAAGTTTTCAGTAAGTCTTCTCTATACAAAGTATCCTTTCTTCATTGAGCTCTTCTCATGTGTAATCTATTATAACTGATTATGCAGACATATGATGATATACTTAGAAAATCCCAAAGAATCAACTAAAAAGTTACTTGAACCAATTAATTTTAGCAAAGTAGCAGGATATAAAGTAAATCGACATAAATAATCAGCATTCCTATATATCACAAACAAAAGCCTGCAAGAAGTGATAGTAAAAGATACTTCATTTAATATAACTCTACACAGTGTAAAATACCTGGGAATACACCAGACAAAACAAACCTAGGAAGTATATAAACCAGATAAAAAAAATTTATACAAATAAAATCAGATTTAAATAACGAAGAAATATTAATTGTTCATGGGTAAGCAGGGCCGATATAATGAAAATGACAATTTTACCTACATTAATTTATATATTCAATGTCATCCCAATTAAATTATCAATAAATTATTTTGCCGAATTGGAAAATATAATAACAAAATTCATTTGGAAGAACAAAAAGTCAAGAATATTAAAGGAACTAATTTTTTTTAAATGTAAAGGAAGGAGGTTAGCAGTACCAGAAAGTAAAACTATATTAGAAGGCAATAATTATCAAAATTATCTGGTACTAGCTTAGAAATAGAGAGGTAGATCGATAGAACAGAGCAGACATACAATTTACAGCAGCAATTAAACATAGTAACCTTGTATTTGACAAATGTAAAGACTTAAGATTTTGGGGTAAGAATTCATTATTTGGTAAAAAAAAAATTGTTGGGAAAACTGAAAGTGGTATGGCAGAAATTGGGCATAAACCAATACCCTATACCACTTACCAAGATGAGGGCAAAATGGATACATGATCTAGATATAGAGATATCACAACAAAATTTGAAGAACATCAAAGATATTACTTATCAGACTTATGGATAGGTGAACAATTTATGAATAAACAAGAGACAGCAAGAAGAATAAGGTGTAAAATGGATAATTTTGATTACATTAAGTTTTAAAAGGTTTTGTACAAGTAAAACAAATGTAGCCAAGATCAAAAGAAAAGCAGAAAACTGGCGGGGAGGGGAATTTGATTCTCAGATAAAAGTTTCATATTTCAAATATATAAAGAACTTTGTCAAATCTTTAAGAATAAGAGTCAGCTTATTTTAAATGGCAGTGCACATGTAAGTAAAAATTTGAAGAAAATATACAGAATTCTCCATTTTGACAAGTTAACTTTGAATAGTATTAATCTCAAAAAATGACCTCCTCGAGAAAATGGCTGACCTGGAAACCTAGTATCTCAGTGCCTTTTTACTGACTAAGAACTCAAGAAGCAAGGATTAAGACAAACTCTAATGGACTGTCATCAATTAGCCAAGTCATAAAGCCAGAGGAAAGCCAACGGCAGGATAAGCTTGAGGATTTCTCCCCACAAGTACACTTCAGTATTATAGATGGAATACTGACAAGACTTAAAAAAAGATCAGAGGAAGTTCAGTAGAACTACTGTATCTGACTTAAAATCACACCTCTGATACATACCAGCTATGACTCTGGACAAATCATTTTCAATGTAATTCTCTAAAACTATAAGTTATACTACAACGACTGCAAATCTATATTCACAGAGCTCCCTTCAACAAGGAAATCACATGTTTAAATAAACACACATGCATAAAGGCCCAGAGTAGGATAGCGATAGAAGTACTAAACCTAGAGTCAGAAGACCTATATTCAATTCCTGACTCTAATATTTCCTAGCTCTGTGACTATAAGCAAAATACTTAACTTCCCAAAGCCCTGGTTTCCTTACCTATAAAATAGGGGGAAAGTATTTATACTATAAATCTCACAAAATTCTTCTAAGGGCAGCACTTCATGGTCGTTAAAGTGTTATAAGGGTATGAGCTGTTTGTGCTACTTTCGGGATCCAATTATTTTCTATCCATTCAATATGCAAGATGATGTCCCCAAGGGCACTTAAGTGGCCCAGGAGATAAAGGATCAGACCTGGAATCAGGAATACCTGAGTTTAAATCCAGCCTCACATACTTATTAGCTTAAATGGAGATAATAATAGCACTTTCTTCCCAGGGTTGTTGTGAGAATAAAATAATATTTATAAATGTATTTTTTTAAAAAATTTAAATACTATACAAATTCTAGATTTGATGAAGAAGAGGAGGACAACAATAAGAAGGAAGAAGATAACAACAAAATGTTGACATTCATGACAGGGAAAAATGGAAAAATCTTTAGGGCCAAATTCAACTTAATTCAACAAATATTTAATAAATGCTTACCATGGCCAGAAATAGAGCCATTTAAAGTCTAAAAGCCAGTTCTCTTTAGTCCAAATGCCTCTATATTCGAGTTGCTCTCAAATATAAGCAAACTCCCTAAAACAAGATCTAGTTGGAAGGTAGCAGGGTGTGTGTATGTGTGTGTGTGTGTGTGTGTGTGTGTGTACAATGAAAAATGATTAAATAAAATTATTATAAATTAAAGTTATTAATTTACTGAGAAAGGTCTTTTTGTTCCTTTTTTTTTTTGCATTTCTTTTTATTCCAATCAGGATATTCTATTCCTTTTTATCACTGCCCTTTCTGTCTTAGGTCCCATTCATCACCCTTCTCAAAGGCCATACTCAAAGTTTGTTCAAATCCAGGGTAGGAGTGGAAGTAAGGGTGGGAAAGAGGGAAGAGGAAAAATTTGTCCTATTTTCAGACCAATAGAGTAGGTTTCATATCTGAAGGATAAACTGTCCAAGTCACAAGACACTAAAGCTTGATAGCAATTACTTTCTTCAAATTTATAACAGGTTCAAAGGTTGTGAGATAACAAGTTTTGCCACAGAAAAGTAATTATATTATAATACACAGATTATTGCCTGCCTCCCAGTACCATACCCCCAGCCCCAAACAAACTTTGCCTGATAAAAATTAATAGAGACACAAAAAGGGGTAAGCTGCCCAAATAAAGGTATCTCTCTTGTCTAGAAATCACTTACTTTTACATGGCTGAAATCACCAGCCTTGCTGCTTTCCGGGGGATTCACTGGTTTGCTCTCAACTCGAGGCTTGACAACCTGTCGAAAAGGACTGGAAAGAGGAAGACCACTAATGCTGATTCCATCTAGGAAAAAAAGGAGGAAAAACATGCTCATGAGTCTCAGGCACATAGGATACATTTTGGCTCACTTACTTACAGTTCTCCCTACACAACATTTCCTCTCCTACACCTGTATCTTTACAGAGGTCATCCCCTATATCAAGTATTAATTTACTCCTCATCCCCCTTCTTGAGAGTCCTAGCTTTTATCAAGATTCAGCTCAAGTACTCGCCTATATGTGACCTTTCCTAATTTCCCACACAGTGTTTACAACATCTTTCTGGCCAGAAATAATTACTTTGTACTTACTTTGTATATTTTATTCACTTATCTGTGCATGTTTGAGAGAGAGAGAGAGAGAGAGAGAGAGAGAGAGAGAGAGAGAGAGAGAGAGAAATAGAGAGATAAAAAGAGAGAGACAGAGAGTGTTTGAGAGAGAGAGAGATCTATCAATCGATCAGTCTATCTGGACAGGGTTTCCAAACATGAACAGATATTAGAGAGCTTCAAACATAGGCAGATAAACAGACAGATACCAATCTATCTAAATATGTTTGAATCTCTCTAATACACTTATAATACTATATTATACTTGTTTCTAGTTCCCTACCAATTGGTAAGCGCTATGACAGCAGGGATTGTTTGTTATCTAAAAGTTGTATCTCTCCTAGTACTTGGAACAATTTGTAATTTAATTTACATATATATATATGTATGTATACATATGTATGTTATATATACATATAGGTGTATTTTGTTGTTCAGTTGTTTTTCATCACGTCCAACTCTTCATACCCCATTTGGGGTTTTCTTGGCAAAGATACTGGAATGGTTTGCCGTTTCCTTTTCCACTCATTTTACAGATGAGGAAACTAAGACAAATAGGGTTAAGTGCTTTGCCCAGAGCCATACACAACTACTAAGTATGTGAGACCAGATTTAAATTCAGAAAGAAGAGTCTTCCTGATTCCAAGTCCAGTGCTCTATCTATTATACAACCTAGCTGCCCCCATATTTCTCTCTCTTTCTCTCTCTCTCTCTCTCTCTCTCTCTCTCTCTCTCTCTCTCTCTCTCTCTCTCTCTCTCCCTCCCATGTTCCCTTCTCTCTCTCCTCTTCTCTCTCTTCACATATATGTATATATACACATATATACACAGTCATGTATAATCACACATATATGCAAACAAAATAGACATATAAGGCATAAACATGTACATATACATACACATGAGAGATACATACATACATACATACATACATACATACATACATACATACATACATACATACACACATAGAGGTCCCTGGGGGCAAGGCCTTTTTTCCTTTGTAGCCCCAATACCTAATATACAGGAAAGGTTTAATAAATGTTTGATGAATGAATGAATGAGCATACGAAGAAAACACTTTACATAATGAACAGAGGGAGCCTTTAGTGGGCAATAGTAAGAATGCTGGGGTAACTACCTGTACTTGAGATCAGTGTTTAATGTTATACAAGTATTTGCAAGGACACAGAATGCTTAGAGCAGAAAGCAAGCTAGTCCCTGGATGGGTGTTGTTGTTTGTCCTTTCATTTTGAAGGGGACCAGTGACATCACAGGTGATGTCTTGACCTCCCTGGGAATTGGATTTAAGTACGGCAGAGTTACACAAAGTCATCAACATCATTCTCTCTTCCAGAGACACTGAAGTCCAGTGGCAAGACAAAAGTCAAGAGGCCTGGCAATGGCCCAGGACACAGTAGATGAACTTGGTGTCTTAGATGTCTGACCACGGTCTAAGCACTCCACAAATGCTTGCTTCAGCTGCCTTCATATCTGTTGGAAAAAATTGTTCCCATCTGACCACTCCACCAAGAAAAGTCTTCACATGCTTCAGGTAGACTCATCGAAGTATTACCTTTGGTTACCCTCAGCTTAGCCCATCTGCTGAGATGGTTTACCAAGGTGTGGCCACTGTACACACTACAGCTTCTTTGGAGTCAAAGGTGAGAGTTTTGTGCCAGGTAAATGAGTGCCAGGTAGATACCAATGGTAGAGGAGCAGCCCTTAAAAGGGCTTGGTATGTCCTCACACCAGAGGTTCTTGTCCTTCTTGAACACCTCATTCACCTCCTAGGTGGGTCTCCCAAGTATTTATATCACAAAGCACAGAAGAGAGAAATCTGCTGAGGTAGATGTAAGGATAATAATGTACAATGGTGATATGGAGACCTGTTTAGCTCTTACTTTTTCTTGGGGTTTTTTTTTCCTGCCAAGGAGAATGACCTTTGGTTCAGGAAAGGCAGAATTTAAATGGCTAATAAGTAGTTAAAACTCATGATATGTATGGAGATCATCAGAAAGCATTTAGCTGCCTTTGAAGAGTTCAAGTTATCAGTCCCAAAGTACCAAAAGAACTGAGAGATGTGTTTGCTGAGCTACTGTCAGTGATCTTAGAAAGATTACCAATAGCATGAGAAGTGCTAAAGAGTTAGAGGGCAAGAGTTGCAACAGTTTTTAAAAAGGAGAAAAGAAAGAAGACTTTACTAGAGTCTATAAACCATGGACCAATTCCTTGCAAAATTTGAAAATAAATTATTTAAAGAGATGGTTAGTAAGCATCTAAAAGAGGGAGCAGTAACTTCAAAAGGTCAGAATTACTTCATCCAGATCAGTAGATATGACGCTAACTTATTTTTTTCACAGTTATTACAGTGGTAGATCAGGATAGTTTAATTTTGACATAACACTGAACAAGCCTCCCACACTTTTTGTATGGAATGATACAAAGATAAGGGTTTTTAAAAAAAAAGCACAACTGCTTGGATACATAACTAGCTGAACAGCCAGACCCAAAGAGCAGTCTTTAATGGTTCAGTGTCAACATGGAAGGAGAAACCTACTGTCCCACAGATTTGTGATTGGCACTAGTCTTGTATTTGAAAGTACATTTTTGTCATTGTCTAGGGAATGAAATGAATGGCATGCTTAACAGATTTGCAGTTAACTCTGACAGAAAAGAAAGAGCTAATACACCAGATAATAAGATCAGGATCTAAACAGACCTTGAAGAACCATACTAGCTAATTACAATGAAACACATCATCAGAAGGTTGTCCAACTAATGGGATTTTGGCCATAGTAACTCATTAAATCACATAATAAGGCATGAAAACTATAATCTGCATCAACAGAGGGAGTAACTGCACCCATGTCATTACAGATATTTGAAGTTCTTTAATGTCAGAAGAGAAAACACTGCTAACATAATCTTTTTCTTTCATATACAAATCCTATTGATTGTGGCATAGAATTGTAGGGTTCAAGAGAACAGTTTCTGCACTGCTAGTTTCTTGCTTTCTTCCACTATTTATATAATCTGTATGGTTTCATTAACCTAAATGGTGTTTGCCTAGGATTATTACCTCCAGATCATCTGGGTGATTTTCTTTGTACAAGTTCTAGCACAGATTCATTCAATTTAAATCAGTAAGAATTAAATGAATATAGTTATATGTAAAAGGCATTATACTTGTAATGGGGGAGATAGAGAGATAATAAGATGTGGTCTTTTATTTCAAATACGGTAGTGAAGATGAGACGTGCCCATACCTATAATACCAGGTAAAATGTTTCTAAAAAATTATAAAAAAGTGAAACAAAGGAGTTGAAAGAAACCTAACTTCTGGCTCTAAGGAAAAGAGAAACATTTCAGGTGGACCTAAAAGCATTGGAAGATTATAAGAAGCCAGAAGATACAGTGAGAAGAGCACTGGATTTGGAATAAGATAACCTAGCTTTAAATTTTGGCTCTGACATATGTCTTTGTAACCTTGAACAAATGAAATAATGTCTCTAGGTCTCTGTTTCTTTGTCTGTCAAAAGAAAGGGTTGGGAAAAAAAGGAAGTTGGAAGCATGCCACCTCTAAATCTATGATTCTATAATCTTAAGAGACAGAGATTCAGGGGAAGATCCTTTCAGGTTGAAAGAGTAGTGGACAAAAACAAAGAGCTTTAAAAAAAAATTAGGCATACTTAGGGAGTGGCCTATTGTTCATTTTAATAGGAACATAGGATAGCTGATGAGGAAGAGTGAGAAAAACAACTGGAAAGATAAGTGAGGGCCATATCATAGAGGACTTTGAATTCCAGGCTTTGAAAATAAGACTTCATATAGCAAGCAACAGGTAATCACTAAAGATCCATAATGAGAACAGCTGCTTGATCAGAATGATGATTTAGAAGAAGGTTGTTCCAATTGTGGTATGTAATCGGAATTAGAGATGTGAAAGAAAAGATGAGAGCAAAGACTAGTGATAAGAAGGCTAAGTCAGGAAACTATTGCAGTAGTTTTTTGAGTAAAAAGTAATGAGCCATAAAACAGTGCAGTAACAAGAGGAATGAAAATCAGGGGTGAGATGCGAGAGACTTACAGAAACTATAGAGGCAGCACGGTACAGTGGAAAGAACAGTGCAGTGGAGGAAGAGGACACGAATCAAATCTTGCTTCTTCTACTGCGGCAAGTCACAACCTCTCTGGGCTTCATTTTTATGATCTGGGCTCAGGGCTCCCTCACTAGGTCTCTTCTAACTCTGAATCTATGAACAACAGAAATGGACTAATAATTCACACTTATACAGTGCCTTCAGACTGACAAAACACTTCTCTCAGAACAGCATTGAGTAGCACAAGTACTATTGTCCTGATCCATAAGATGCAGACTCCAAAAGGCTAAGCAGCTTATTTAGAACTATATAACCACTGAATATTAAAGCCAGGATTTGTATAATAAAAAGTTGCTCCTGACTCAAAGTCCTGAAGTTTTTTTGCAAAAACATGCAACCCCCTGTAGCAATCCAAGGACAGTGGACAAAATGGATAGACAAGACAGAACTAATTAGACAATATGGACAAAGGAAAAGGAAGACTTAGGGATGAATTCACAATCTGAAGCCCAGGTAACTGAGAGGGCAGCACCATTACCAGATAAGGAAAATAATAAAAGATATATAATTTTTGAGGGAAATAAATAACTTTT